ACCAGGGTCCCCACCAGGCTGTGTACCAGGGTCCCCACCAGGCTGTGTACCAGGGTCCCCACAAGGCTGTGTACCAGGGTCCCCACCAGGTAGCACAGACATGTGCACACACAGGAAACACAAGCACTAATGTTTCTGTGATGTCAGGGTTTTGTTAGCAAAATGTTTAACTTACTGAAACTCTCAGAAACCTACTGGATCAGTCTGATGTAAGATGGTCACAACAACAGCTAAACAACACAATGACTCAGCTTTACAGCCAGTTAGTCCTGGTTCCCTGCAGTGAACGCACACAGCACACACTGACAGTCCACCACAGACACACAAACAGCTCAAACTGGGTCAACAGGGAAAGTCCAACATAACAAACACAAAGTAAAAAAAGTCTGAGTTAAAACAACATCAGCAGCTGTGGTGCAGCACAGCCTCAGGACCAGTTAGAACCTGTGAGGAAACACTCACACACACACAGTGCAGACACACACACTCACACAGTGCAGACACACACACTCACACAGTGCAGACAGACACACACATGTATTCCTGCACGGTGCTGGAACAGTCCAACTCACTTCTTGAGGATGTCTTGTTTCTTCTGCTCCTCAGATGTTGGCAGACCCATAGACTTCTGTCTCTGGTCATACATCATCTTCTCCACCATGCCTCGAGTCTCTCCATCCAGGTCTGACAGCTGCAGGCCAGGAAGGAGGTGGACCATCAGAGGAACATCTACAGGAGGTCTTTGAATCAGTGACACACAGCTCGTACCTTAGAGTTCTCTGGGCAGACCTTCTTGGTGTTAATCTCTGGATCTGTGGTGATAATCCTGCTCCACCACTCCATCTTATTAATCTGGAAGCGAACAGAACCAGGACTTGTTCACATGGACCCTGAAGACACGAGGACCTGATTGTAGACAACATGTGACCTGACCTTCTCCAGGTGGACGGTGACCAGCTTCCCATCATCGATGAGCCAGGAGCTCTCCTCCACCTTCACCTCGTTGTAGAGCTGACCGTGGACGACCGGAGGGTGGCCCTTCAGGCCCACCTTGATGGAGCGCCGCTGGATGTCCACCACCACATCTCTGCTCTTGATCCGAAACTTCACGTGGAAGGGCACGACGAGCTGTGGGACCATGTGACACTCTTAATGCACAGCAGCTGGTTTTCTATGGAGACGTTTCTTTCAAAGTACAATAAATAAATTATAAATTATGTCATTCATAAACTATTAATAAATAGTCCATCTAATACATAAATGTCCCCATGAAATAAAACAAAATTAATAACACATTTTTAGCATGTCTTTGTATTATTTATTTATTACATATTGTAGTTTTATTTTTGAGACACTTTTATTTTGTAAAGCTACTTTACATATTTCTGGGACTTTTATTCTGAACTCCCTTATTATTTCATGGTGTTTTACTATTTCAGACTGATTTTTATTATTTATTGTATTTTGATTGAAACGGCTCTCCACAGTTTTCCAAAGCTGCAGTGAGG